TTCTCAGCTTGTTGTTTTAATCGTATCCTATTCCCATTTCAAGGATATAATATCCTCCCCGAGGACATTTATTATAGCTTTTTAAAATATATCTCAGGGAGGATATTTATTATATCTTTTCAGAAAGTGTTACCCTGCCCACTGTATTATCTTTTTTTCCTCCATTTGCTTTTCCTTCTTCCTCCTCTTTTTAAAAATTTTGTTTTGGAGTCTCTCTCGTTCTTGTTAGCAGTTTACCTGAAACATCTGGTGTCCTCTGACTGATCAGGGTGCTGGTGAAATTCCCCAAAGCTGACAGGCAGCTCTGTTGTGAACAGGTGKGTGGCCTTTGGGCCTCATGCCAACAGCACTGTTTGGCAAGCCACCTTTTGCACTGGGGGAGCTTTTCAGACAGCCAGATTTGAAGATTTCACCGGAAAACTCATTGTATCCTAAGACRAGTCCTATACCATTACAGTGAAATTGGTGGTTTAAATTGGAAAGACAGGGAGCTGAGGGCTCGTGGTGCTCCTGGTGTTTGGTGTGTGGATCCTCTCAGTTCCTCCATACTGTGGTGCCTGTGCTTGTGCGTCTGAGTTTTTGGAGAACTGAAAGGGTTTCGGTTCCTGCAGTCAGCCCCAGCTAGATACCAGTGTTTTGGTTCCACAGATCTTCTGAAACTGTTGTTCTCTTCTTATCCACTTTTTATCTTCCAAAGAATTTGTGCACTGTTTCATCTACCATTGYCTCATATATCTTTTTAGAAATCTGTGTATTGTCCTTTAGCTGTTTCGGGTGAGAGAAAAAATAGATGTATGTGGTCATATTTTTAAGTTGTATTTGATTACCTTAGTACCACGTTTCCACCCTTTTCTGTACTCATCTAGATTGACTTTATTTACTAGAACAAAATAAAATTGCAGTGTTTTCAGAAAGATAATTATATATCTCAGTCTACCCACAAAAAAAAAAATTACACTTTTGCAGACAGTTTAACTGTTGGATTCTCTACTTGGATTAAAATTTGGAATGTTGTCTTCGATGACTGTCTTGGTTCTCTTTGTGGTAGATGGTTCCTCTGGCAGGACCCAAGATGAGGGTCTAGACCTGTGGGCTCCAGCTGCCTCTTCAAAACAGAGTGAAGACATAAAGCATGGTTAAAATAACAAATGAATATGAAAGAGGAGTAGTTAGAGCAGCCCATTCACAATTAAGTATAAAGTAAGGTTGCTTTATCTTTAATGCCAAGTTTTTTAAAAAGCACAGTTATATGGTAAGCTGAGGATATCATGCAGTATGATACTACATCTGTTGATCATAATGGAAACTTCTCAGCTTTTTATGTTTTTCCACTTGTTGACAGAGTGCCTCTTTGAGAGCCCCCTGCTGACTTAATTATCAAATGCCAATTAGAATTATGGCTTTTTAGATTTGGGTACAAGTGTGAAGCAGTTGATCTCTTGAGAATGAAAATGTTTTGCTTTCATACTCTCTGGGGAAAACATACTTATAGCTGATTTCATAATGCTGTGAAAATACATTATTTGGTAACATGTACTATTACATACATTTCACTTTTGAATTATTATCCTACCTATCTGTGTTTACTGGTCTTGGCTGGTTATCACTTGATTCAAGATCTTGGCAGACCACCTAGCCTCATTGGGCCTTAGTGTCTTCATCTGTAAAATGGTGCTATTAATGTCTGCTTTACTCTCTTACACAGCTGCAAAAATCAAATGTGATAATAGATGTGAAACTGCTCTGATAGCATAAAGTGCTACTTAAGAGTATTCTATCGGCTGGGGGTGCCGCTCAGTGTTAGGGCTCTTGCCTAGCATTTGTGAGTCCCTGGGTTTGATCCCCAGCACTGCAAAAATTAAAGAAAGAAAAAAGATTATACTATTGTTCTTATGTTTTTGCCATGATTATTTGCAAGCTTTTTTTCTACTTTTCCATACACACTAATCTACTGAAAAGAACATATTGATCTTAGAATTAGAAAAATCTGCCATGTTCATTTTGTAGCAGAAAGAGTTAGAACCATTTAATCCCTGTGTGAGTCTCAGTTTCCCCTTTCATAAGTGGGGTTAGCTATAACACGATTGATGTAAAAAACATGAAGATGCTTTGTGAGATCTGTAAAGAATATTATAAATCCAAGGGATTATTTTTTGTGATTTTTTTTCATTTTCTCATAGAATTGCCACTTGTTCCTTTTAATATTATAGAAAAAGGGAAAAAAGAGTATTAAAAGTATGTTTGGGATTAAAAAGTAGAGATTTTATTAGCGGTTCTTAAAAGTCAGTGCGATTTACACTGGGAATAGTTGTGGAATGAATGAGTGATCTGAGACTCAGCAGGGTAGAGGGATCCAGCAGAGATTCCCATATCATCTTGGATGGACCCAAAGGGGTTTTAAGCCCATGCTCTGTCCTTTGAAAAGTGAACATGTACAGAACCCAAACTTATCAGTGTCAGTGCAACAGGAGATGGAAGGCCTTCATCACAAGCTGGTCTTTGCAATTTAGAGTAGGGCTGTTCTCTTATTCACCTAGTTACTGCTTCGAATAGCATTGACCTGTTTTTCAATGTCTTAACATTTCTCACTTTGTGTTTTATGTCCTTAGAAAGCCATATGTACTTATTCGAAGGTAAAGATTATTCTAAAGAGCCCAGTAAGGAAGACAGAAAATCATTTGAACAACTGGTGAATCTTCAGAAAACCCTTTTGGAGAAAACAAGTCAAGAAGGCCGGTTACTCCGAAATAAAGGCAGTGTAAGAGCTGTTAATTTGTGTGAAATCATAAAGTCTTCCAAAAAATTATATCTTAAGATGATTTGTTAAGAAATAAGTGTCTGTTAAAATATAACAAATTAACTGAACCCTATATAAAAAGCTATGTAAAAATCTAGTATAAAAAACATTAACAAGCTGAGTATATTGTACTATTTAATGCAGGTAAAAGTAGGCCTGTCCCTCTTCTAAGTCACCCTAAAGGAATCACCATGTTACATCAAAATACCATATCCTGCTGTTGATAATCATGACCCTGTTTCATTAAGAGATGATGGCAATCATAAACGATACATGTCATGTTCACAGTATTTTGTGCTTAAAATGTATTTTCTAAATGTTACCTATCATTAAGATAATCATGCTAAAATACTGTATTAAAAGGAATTGTACATTTGTAGAAAGATTCGTGTTAAAATTATTTAAACTTTAAATGCCATCCTACGGTGTATGCTTTCAATCAAAGAAAAAAGTAAGCACCTTATTATTAATGAGATGAATCAAAATGACTACCAGCCATGCTAGTGCTCTGTGCGCCGTGCCAGTGCGATGCAAAATATGAATGTTAAATTGGATTACCTGGCGGCCAGTGCCCACCACACAGGATGCTGTGCTCTGTGAAGTCCTACGCGAGTTACCTCTGTAGAGTGTACTTTAGGATGAAGGAGACTTGAGAGGAATAGGAAGTCTCTGATCTTCTTGGCTGTGGTCTTGTCTTTCCCACAGGTTCTTATCCCAGGCCTAGTGGAGGGGTCCACCAAAAGGAAGCAGATTCTGAGCCCAGAAGAACTGGAGGAAAGACAGAAAAGAAGACAAGAAGCAGCCGCCAAGAGAAAGAGATTAATAGAGGAAAAGAAGAGGGCAAAGGAAGAGGCTGCACATAAGAAAAAGTATGTTCATAAAGTACTGTGGTTTCCAGTGACGTAGGTCTCGTCTCCTCTACTAGATTGTGGAGAAGGGAAGGATATTCATATGGGAAATTTAATATTTTTTTAAGAGAGAGAGAGAGAATTTTTTAATATTTAGTTTTTAGTTTTCGGTGGACACAACATCTTTATTTTTATGTGGTGCTGAGGATCAAGCCCAGCGCCTCGCGCATGCCAGGCAAGCGCACTACTGCTTGAGCCACATCCCCAAGCCCTTAATATATATTTGATGGAAAAAAAGTATGTCTGTGTTACTAACCAAGCTGAGGGTCACAGTTGGCAAAGGATTCCACAATTGAACATCACTTAAAAATTCAAAAAAGTATCAACCTGGTAGTTCCTGTTGGTAACAGAATACTTTTTTTTTTGATTAGGGATTGAACCTGGGACACTCTACCACGATCTACTTCCCCAGTTCTTTTTATTTTTTATTTTGAGCCAGCTCTCACTAAGTTGTGCAGCTGGCCTCTAACTTGTGATCCTCTTGCCTCAGCTTCCGGAGTAGCGGGGATCACAGGTGTGCACCACCACACCTGACTCCACAGAACACTTCTTCAAAGATTCAGCTTTAACGTTGAGTCTACTTTAGCGAGAAGTCTTGAGTACCTACAGCAGAGAAACAAGAAATGTTAAAGATTTTATTATAGTTGACAAGGAATTGTTTATTTGAACAGTCCCTTTTAGTCATGTTCTTAAAAACGGGGGCATTTGGTGGCTGCTCATTATTGAAGTGTAATCAAGAGATGGTTGGGCTAATCACTAAAACTTGTTTATTTACAATTGAGCAGAAAACTTCAATCGGTGGGTTTGTAATGGCATTTTACGTGGCAGTTACTGTTTGGGAATAGCAGTGCAAACTGTGCTCAAAGGAGAGGTTACTTTTCTCTTCTCTCTGGCCTATTGAAGGATGGCTTGGTGGAAGTCCAACAACTACCGGTCCTTCTGCCTGCCCTCTGAGGAGAGTGAGCCTGAAGACCTCGAGGACGAGGAAGACAGGGGTGCTGCCGAGCTGGGCTGCGAAGACCCAGACCCAGCCTCCATCAAGTATGTCAGCGGTGACGTCACACACCCTCAGGCCCAGGCCGAGGACGCCTTCATTGTGCATTGTGTAGGTACGAGAAGTGGTGTGGGACAGGGAGGGTGCCTCATCTTCATGGTGCAAGAAAGGGAGAGGATGAGGCACAGTCATGGCTTAAGGGCTGGTCCCAGTGCAGTGTCATGTGGCCAAGAAAGCATGGCTTGTAGAATCGGCGGACGTGGATTTGACTCTTGGCTCTTTGGTTTACCTGGTTGAGTTACCCACTCGCCCTGAGTGTCAGCTTCCTAATCTATGTTAATGGCACAATATCTGTCTCATCCTCTGCACAAGTTTTTTAAGAGGGTGAAACAAGGCTGCATTTTAGAAGAAAACTGTATTCTCTGAGAAACTCCCTGTGTGTTCCCCTGACAACCTTTGCATGTTCTGTATCCTCTGCCAGGAACCCTATTTTCCCAAACAATCCCATCAAGCATTGTTCAAATGTCTGCTTGTGAAACAGTCTGTATGTTGCCTCTGTTACTCTGTCCTCTTTCTACACTACTTACCTTTATCCCCTTCTGACATATTAACGTACGTCTTTGACTGTCTCATTGCATTAGAACATAAGCTTAATGGAAGAGGACTGTGTGTGTGCATGTGTGTTCACTGTATTACCCCAGTACCTGGAATGATGTCTGACGTGTGATACAGGTAAATGAGTAGTTGTGGTATGAATGGGTATAAATACCAGGTGCCAACCAGCTACATTAATGTGAGCTTGAATGAGTCATTTCACTTTTTCTCTTCCTTGCTTGTAAAATGGGAGTTGTATGCTGTGGTATTAACAGTGCTTGTCACTGCTGTGTTCCATCCACTCTCCACCCTCCAGAGTTATAGACCCACCAGAGATTCCTGCTTCTTCAKAACACTCATTTTTGAGCTGCCTTTCTGTTATGATGACCAGGCATATCTTTCAGAAAACCTGAACATATTTGGGAATCCAACTATGATTCTCTTAGGAGATCAGATATATCGATCCTTCCTTTGAAAAAATCATTCTTCTAAATTGTGGGCTTGACTTTGCCTCTTACAGATGAAAATTTTCTTTCTTCCGTCAGATGACTCTGGCCGCTGGGGCAGAGGTGGCTTATTCACGGCTCTGGAAGCACGATCAGCTGAGCCAAGAAAAATATATGAGCTGGCAGGAAAAATGAAAGGTAAGAAACAGAACAGTGGAATAAGACAGGAAAAGACACTCAGGACAGTATTGGGTTTAGCTAGCCCTCGAGAAGACTTAGGAGAGCCGATTGGGATCGGAATTCTGTCATCTCTCTGCCTGTTTTCTCATCTGTAAGGTATATACTTTGTCACACCTACCCCGTGGGACTACAGTGAAGATAATGAATGTGTAGGTGTTTTGAAAAATGTCAATTGCTGCATCTTCAAGTATTAGAATAAAGATTATTTCATCCAACTCATGCCATCTTCATAAGGGAATATCCCATAAAAATGTCAGACAGCTATAGGAGAGAAATGCGRCACACTATTAAAACTGGTGGGTGGTGGGTCAGGTTTGTGCTAGGTGGATTATGAGGTCAGCAGAGCCTGGGTACAACACTCCCTGGAGACAGAAATAAGGCTGTTTGGGACTAGGAGAACTTAGAAGACTAAGAAGTATTGTCCTTTGTCACACAGAAGGGAAAAGGCCACCTCCTTTATGTGTCAAGGTTGCAACATGTCAGGAAGAGGAAGATGATCACTGAGGTCATTTTCTGCGGTTGAGCAGTCACGGGACCTTGTCCAACAAAGAAGGGCCCTCCTGATATCTTAGAGACTGGTTTTTCCTCATTCTTTTGCCCAGTTCTCTAAAGTAGAGAGAAACGTAAGGGTGTAAAACACATTGCTGAAAGAAGGGTTTGGTGTGTGTGTTGAAACAGCCAACCCAGATTTAGATCTTGACTTGGCAGGATTCAAAACAAAAGCAAAAAGGTGCAGAGAACCCAGGAGCGGTCAGAGCCAGAGGTGCAGACTGAGGACCCTGTTAGAAATCGTGTTGGAGAACTGAGAGGGCAGAGAACAGTACATGGAAAACTTTTGGAGCTAAGAGGAGACAGTAAGAATTTTCAGAAAAATAAGAGAGCCTTGAGAATGTAGTATTTTGAAGTAAAGGTTTTGCTTATTTAAATTGAAGTATTTCAGATTTTTTKGAAAACTGGATATTTTGTATACCTTAATGAGATACCTTGGGAATGGGAACAGGTCTAAACACAAAATTCACTTATATTTCACATAAATCTAATGGACATAGCCTGAAGGTAGTTTCATACATTATTTTTAGTGCACTGTGCATCACATGAGGTCTAATGTGGAATTTTCCACTTGTGGCATCATATCACTGTTAAAAATTTGGGATTTGGGAGGATTTGGGATTTCTGGATTAGGGATGCTGCTCAACCTTTGTAAGGGAAGAGAGAATATTAAGAAGGCAAAGTGGTTTACAGTGTCAGACTCTGAATTAGTATACAGGGTAAAAATGGGAGTTCATAACCCACTTGAATCTAATGTATGAAATATGATATGTCAAGAGCTTTGTAATGTTTTGAACAACCAATAAAAAAAAGAAAAAGAATTGGGAAAAGGCCACTGGATTCAACCCATGATCAGTCACATGACCTTGGAGCACTTTGAGGAATGTGAGGACTGTCACCTGGTTGTATAGATTTAAGGTAAAAGTGGTCAGTAAGAAAATGGAGTTGGAAGGTGTACACTCTTTTCTGAAGAAGGATTTATATTTTTTTAATCTTTTTTTTTGTAGTTGTAGATGGACAGAATGCCTTTATTTTTTTATTTTTATGTGGTGCTGTGGATTGAACCCAGTGCCTCATGCATGCTAGGCAAGCTCTACCACTGAGCTACAGCTCCAGCCCCATGAAGAAGGATTTAAATAGCCTAGATCAGAGTAGGTGGAACTGGACCAAGGCTTCCTGGAATGGTAAGAGTTATCTGGGGTCTGGGAAGATGGGTTGAATTTGAATAGGTGGGTAGAATGGCAAGAGATGCCTAACAGTCACCTTCTTTTTGGTATCCCTATAATATTTACTGTTCCAAGTCATTGCACAGTCCACACGCATGGGCCAGGCTTAGGCCGAGGAACAGCAGAGTTCAGTTGTAAAGGGAGGGTTGGCCACCTCATAGAAGACCATGCATGGCTTGTCCAGGGGACACGTTCTAAGTAGAACCATATCCAGGGGATCACGGCTGGACATACAGGAAACCTGATCAGAAGAACGGCATAGCAGGGCTGGGGCTGGGGCTCAGTGGTGGAGCACTTGCCWAGCATATGTGAGGCTCTGGGTTCGATTCTCAGCACCGCATATAAATAAATAAAGGTCCATTGTCACCTAGAAAAAAGAAATTAAAAAGAAAATGATGTAGCAGAGCCAGCATTTTAGAATTAAAAGATTGGGGTGTGCAAGATATCTACCTTTTTAGTTTAAACAAAAAGTTTAAACTGGGTTATGTAGAGCCCAGAATTAAATGAGCACATCTGCCTAGAATGTCAGTTTGATTTGATTTGTATGGGGTAGGAAAACATGCAAGAGGACTAGACGTAGTAGAATGCAGAATTTGAATGATGTGAGACAAACTCTAAGACTTCCAAAGGCATTTCAGGCTCATAGAAGTCCTCCGCACCTCCCTACCCAGGGATGCCTCTAGCACTCGCTTCCCCTCTCTGTGGCCTGTAGGGCACTTGGCTGGTGACGTTTGGGGAATACTGAGTTAGCAGAACATGAAAAATTCAGGAGGGAAGCAATGAGAACTGGCTAAGGCGGTGACTGAGGTCAGGAGAACAGGGGAGTGAGAAAAGGCTGCGAAAGACTGGCAGAGGTAAGGTCCTAGACCTAACTGGATTTGGACGAGCAGGCACAGTAGGGTTCGGAGTAATTCTCCTTCAGTGGTCCATGTGAGGCTGAGTGTTCTTTCTCTTGTTTTTTTTTTCTTTTTTTAATCTCAGACTTGAGTTTGGGAGGTGTCCTTTTATTTCCTATTGATGATAAAGAGTCAAGAAACACAGGGCAAGATCTGGTAAGTTTAAAAACAAAAACACATCTCTTAATCAGAACTAACATTTGGCTCCCAATAATTTCTCTTAAAGCCTTTCCTGCCCCTGCTGGCCAAGATCTCTGGTATGCGAGTGGTTTGCTACGGCTGCCATAACAGTGCCTCAGACTGTACTCAGCTTAAACCTAGATACGTGTGTTCTCAGAGTGCTGGATGCCACCAGTCCAGGATTAGAGTGCCGGTAGGTGGGTTTCTCCTGAGGCTTCTCTCCTTGACTTGGAGATGACCACCTTCTCACTGTGTTCTTCAGAGGACACAAGCCAGTTTTGATTAGGGCCCACCCTAACAACCTCATTTTAACTTAATAATCTCCATTCTTTAATTGTTTTTATTTTGCATGACAGAATGTATTTTGACATGTCATACATACATGGAGTGTAAATGCCCACTCTTTTTTTTTTTTTAAGAGGGAGAGAAAGAGAGAGAATTTTAATATTTATTTTTTAGTTTTTCGGTGGACACAACATCTTTGTTGGTATGTGGTGCTGAGGATTGAACCTGGGCCACACGCATGCCAGGCGAGCACGCTACCGCCTGAGCCACATCCCCAGCCCTGTAACTGCCCATTCTTGTGGTTGTCCGTGGTGTGGAGTTACACTGGTTATGTATTCATATATGAACATAGGAAAGTTATCTGCAATTCATTCTACTGTCAGTATAAATCTTTTTAAGGCTTTTGTCCAAGTGTAGTTACATTCTGGGGTACTGGGAGTACCCCAAATTCAAAACATGAATTTGGGGGAGCAGGGTCCATCCCATAACAAGCAGGTTGGCCCCCACTCTCCACTTCGCCATCCCCCAGCCTTCTGAGTATCACAGTCCCTGAGCACTGTCCTCTGCTTCCTTATCATCCCCTGGCCTAGACTCCAGGCCCCTTTGTGTGTGGGGACTTTTTTATCCTTAGTATCCCACATAGTATTGGCTCCTAGGAAATGCTCCGTGAACATTTACTGAATAGTAAGAAAATATGTCTCAAAACTCTGGGGGTTTCATCATTTATTACATGAAAGTTTCTGTAAAAGATTGTGTTTCCTGGCCAGCCACAGGCAGAGGAAAGGAACCAGTACAACACTTCTCTGCTTACATCAGAATCCTCCTTTTGCACCTTAAGTATCTCTTGCTTGCTGTCTGTCATTTGGAATACCTGTGGTGAATTTACTTACCACACCGACAGTTTTCTCCAAGACCTGAGTCCACATCCAAATTTTGAACCAAAACTTACACTTAAGAAATTTAGAAACCAGGCTGAAAGAGGTTCATTCTCTTCATATTGGTGGTGTGTGTGACTAGCAACAAAGTGGTTTCCAGTTTATTGGTTCATTCAGGAATTTCTAAAATAAGAAAAAAAGGCAGAGGGTGGACAACGTAATGTCCATGCATGAGAATTTCAGAATATAGTTACTCAGGAAACTGGTCACAGTGTGGAACGTTGTGGCTGGGACGTGACTGTCGTGACTCACATTGGCTCCAGAAGCTCCCTGAACTCTCCAGCTTCCCCCCATTAGGAGGAGGTGGGGGATCTTTGGCATCTGTTTTCATAGAGATTGTCTAGACAGAAATAGTTCCCAGGACAAGCAGGCAGCCTAACTCTAGTGTCAGAGGACTGGATCCTGAGAGCCTCTAAAATCCTATCTACTCCTAAGAGTCTTAGAATTTTTCTTTACCTATGAGAACATTTAGAAAGTACAAGTTTTAGATTCTAGTTTTTAACATATCATGAAAAGAGGAAGAAATTCCTGTTACCACAAAAACAAGTTATGATGGGTACATAATCACACATTGCTGTGCAAGCAGAGCTTACAAAAGAGATGGAGCCTCCCCGTGCAGTGACGCACGCCTGTAATCCCAGCAGCTCAGGAGGCCGAGGCAGGAGGATCACAAGTTCAGAGCTAACCTCAGCAATTTAGTGAGGCCCTAAGTAACTTAACAAGACCCTGTCTCAAAATGAAAAATAAAAAAAGGACTGGGGATGTGGCTTAGTGGTTAAGCACCCCTGGGTTCAATCTCTGTAACCAAAAAAGGGGCCGGGGGGTGGAGCCAAAGCCTAGGTGGTCCATAAAAGGCTATGTCCCCTCCATGGGCAGGTCACTGAGTTGACAGTGGAACTGTCTCATGTCACCCATCTAATGGTTGTTCTTTCTAGTTAGCCCTGGTAGTGGCTCAGCACCGTGATCGCTCCAATGTCCTGTCTGGCATTAAGATGGCAGCCCTAGAAGAGGGCCTCAAGAAGATATTTTTAGCAGCAAAGAAAAAGAAAGGTAAGCTCTTCCATCTGAGAGCAGGAGAGGACCTTCTTTTTCCAGACACGTGGTGTCGTTTTGAGGGGGAGATGAGGACTGTCCAGACCACACTCGGTTTGCATGGCAAAGGTAGAGCACAGAGTGATGACCACTTCATCTTGTCTGTGTGTGACCCGTTTTCCTTTCCAGGTTGGTTTTGTATTTGTTATCTCGTTTTTATCTTGATTTTACAGTGGGGAAGCAGAAGATTAGAGATGAAGAAATTTGGTCATACACAATTGGGAAAAGCCGTTTATTATACTTCCCCTTAGAGAGTCACAGTATGCCATGACTCTCTGCCAAAGAAATTTAATTTTGTTTCTAAACCTAGTGTGTAGTGTGTCTTGGTGTTTGTTGAATTTCATGGATTATTGGGGAATCTTTGATTTCCCCATTAATCATATTCTACTTCCATTGTGCCTGCTTATTTTCAAGAGCCTGTGGATCTTTATGTTCAGCAGAACAACTTAATTTTTCCCTGTTATAATCCCCTCGCCAGCATGTTTTTCACACTGTATTTGTGTATTTTGGGTGGACAGTCAATGGTTATTTTCTTCTCTGTATATCGTATACCCATAAACCCATTTTTGATGAGTGAAGACATCATGATCTTTTTTTTTTTTTTTTAATAGCAAGTGTTCATCTTCCACGCATCGGTCATGCCACCAGGGGTTTTAACTGGTATGGTACTGAGCGACTTATTCGGAAACATCTGGCTGCAAGAGGCATCCCAACTTACATGTATCCTTTTGTGGTCCTGATAATATGTGTTCCCCGATTCAGGAGGGAAATACGTTGTTTTCTGGTATTGCTATTTATTTAATCCACAGCCAAGTCCTCTCCTGCCATGTTCTTCATTCTGCCCTCCTCAGTGGGACAGACACTCAGAAGCAGTTTCTGACTTATGTATATATCCAGAGCACACACCCATGAGATAGACATGAACACTTTTGGATGCCAAGAGGTAGATTTAAAAATATATGAAGGGGAGAATCCATGGAGCAATTGCCTTTTAATCACATACTAAATTTTTTCTTACTACTTTTCTAGAAATCTTTCAGGTCTGTGGACCAAGGCCTGATTCTAAGAACTTATTCTGTTCTCTAAACAGTTAACAAATAAGTGAACTATTTTATTTTGGGAACTTTTTGATATAGTCTGAAGAGGCTATATGAAATTCATTCTATTAAGTCAATAACTAAACTAATATTTATTTCTCAAGATCTCCATTAGCATTCTTTGAACTATTTTACTCTATTCAAAATCAGAAGCTGCCAAGTTGACCCCCCAATGGCTATAATTATACAGAAAATCCACCTTTGTACTTAGATTCTTACCGAATCATTCAGTCACAACTCCTTACAAAAACTTTAAATAGAGAAGGTTTTATGTGCTTGCACAATTTAAGCAGTAGCATAAGAGTTTTACTACAATAGATTAAAGCAATAATTAGTGCCAACAATATTGGAAGTACTTATGATATAGAGAAAAGAAATTAGGACATATTACTTTTAGAATGGTTATTTCACTAATTATTAAACTAGTAGTTTTGACAAAGTTGAATATAAAGTGATGAAATACGTCTTCCTTGACCACCCTTATCAGATATTACTTCCCTAGAAGCAAGACTGCTGTCCTTCATTCCCAGTCCCCACTTTCCTCCTCAGCACAGCAGGTGCCTTAATAGGCCCTGCACCAGATCCAGTAGTTAGCAGCCAGCTATCAAGATCTTGGCCCAGGGGCTGGAGTTGTGGCTCAGTGGTAGAGGCTCACCCAGCACGGTCAAGGCCCTGGGTACAATTAATTAAAGATATTATATCCAGACTGACTGTCATGAGTATCTTAGAAAAGAATTGGGCCAGGCATCATAGTGCACACCTATAATTCCAGTGACTCAGAAGGCTAATGTAGGAGGATTGCAAGTTCAAGGCCAGCCTCAGCAACTAGCAAAACACTATCTCAAAAAGGACTGAGGATGTGGTTAAGCATCCCTCGATTCAATCTCAATACCAAAAAAAAGGGGGGAGGGGGTTGGGGAGCATTGGGATAGTGTTTTTCTAATTCTAACTTTGTTCTCCTAGATGTGTTACTCTGATATGGTACCTGTAATAGAGGATGCACAACTTATTTGGGAAAGTTATTTGATCTCAGTTTGTATAACTATTTGCATAATGATAAATATTCTGGTCTCTTTGCCATTTTATTCTTTTCCTCTATATCTAGGTTTTTTCCTCCTTCACCAGATGTTTTCTTTACAGAAGGAAAGACTGTCTGGATTAAGGAGATACAGAGGAAATAGAACAGGGTGTCTGGGAGAAGGAAGCACCTTCAGGTAATTCATGCCTGCAAGAGACAGCCTCAGGAATAGAGCTGAGAAGAGAGTCTAGATCCAGACAAGTGAAGCTTCTCCTGCCCTTCTTTTTGCACTGCTTAGTATCTCAGTCTGAAAAAAACACTTTGGCCGAGAGGCCTGTCAATGCAACTTCAGAAAAAACAGTGAATCTCCTTTCCCCTACCCATTAAATCCATTTCAGCCTCAACACATGAGAGAATTGTGAAAATGGCACAAAGCAGGCATAGAATGACTAGTGGTGTTGGAGAAGGTCGGGCCGAGAACCACGGCAAAGAGTCACAGGGGTAAACCCAAGTCTGACTTTTCCCACTTCTGTATGTGAAGGCTTCGTCTTGGGCGCTGTCCTCAGCCAGCCTGATTTCTGCCTCTTTGAGGCCGTCAACACCCTGAGTGCTGCAGAGTCCTTGTCAGAGGTCTCAGACAGGGGCCTTTGATGCAGGAAAACCTCACAGAGCCAGGATCATGATCTAAGAAGGTAGTACTTCCAGTACTTTATGATTCTGTTCAACTCCCTACCTATACCTTCATCCTTCGGCAGCTTAGCATCTGTGCCAGAGATGAGTTAGACCCCAAATTCATGATTGCTTATTCTTTTCTCCCCAATTGCATTTAACTGCCTCCTGTCCACTTTTCTTTCCACCAATACTTAACACATAGGTTATTTTTTTAGTTGACAATATTACTTGTTCTTACTAGGAATACAGTATTCTAATTTGACACATGTATCTCATATAATTGGTCATGATATATAATAGCCAAGTTGAAGGAATCAGTTAGCATTTCCGTCTCCTCAAATATTATTTCTGTGTGCTGGGATCCTTCAGAGTTTCCTCTAGTTATTCTGTCACGTATAATTGTTATAGACTGTTTTCACTATGCCACAGAACACTGGAACTACTCCCCTCTCCACCCATGGCATTTTGGTACCCATTATCACCCTCTCCAAAGCCCCCATTTTTCTACCCTTCCTAGCCTCAAGCAACCTCTGTCATTCTATCTACTTCTATGTAATCAGAACTTTTAGCTTCAACAAATGAGTGAAAACCATTTGGTGTTCGTATTCTATACCTGGCTTGTTTCACTTGGCAGTTTATCCACTGACACTACCTGGGTAGTTTCTGAACATCTGAGAGAAGTATAGTAACAGGGAACTCAGTACCCAGACCATGTAGGTGATCTTTCCATGGGCACAGTTGTTTTTTTGTTGGCTTGGGGGGGAGGGGCGGGGGTGCTTGTCACCTTACACTATAGACCATGCTCCCACCATGGGGATTTTACTAAGGATAGACCCTGTGTTAGGGTTCTCCAGGAAAATAGGACATCTGTTGGTAAAAAGAGGCTCATTAGATTGGCTTACGTGACACAAGGGCTAAAAAGTTCCACAGTGGCCATCTGGAAGCTGTGGAGAGCATGGAAGTCATCAGCAGCTCAGTGCAAAGAGCTGGGAGCCTCAGAAGGAGAGGTACTGATGGTACAGCCCCCAGCCCAACTCCTTGAGGGTTGTTGGTGTAAGTTTGAGTCCAAAGACAGGAAAACCTGCAGTAAATTGTTGAAGGGAAGCAGCAAAAGAAAAGGAACCTTGGAAAACAAGTTTCCCTCTTCTACTTTATGTTCCATCCAGGGCCCCCAGCTTGTTGGATGGTGCTGTCCACAGTCAGGGTGGGTCTTCCTCGTTCGCTCTGCCGATCCATATGCCAGTCCTCTCTGTGAACACCCTCACAGACACACCCAGAAGTATGTTTTACCACTCTCCAGGCATCCTTCAATTCAGTCACGTTGACGCCCAGAATTAACCATCCTAGAATCCCCAGGCTGTCTCCTGGTTAATTGGGCCAAGATAYACATGGATAGCCTCAGAAAACTCTCAGTAGGGATGCTGGCTATCCCAGACTGGAAATTTCATAGTCCTCACAGGCATATAGCCACTTAAATAAGCACCCTGAAGCAGGCTTGCTGTGGGAAAGGATATTAGATATCTCCCAGTAGTCAACCATAATGCTGTAGCAGAAATGAGCGGCTGTCTGGATTTGAACTGTCGTAGGGGTCAGGAATCCCGCCCGGAATCAGATCAGGGACTTGCTGTCTAAGACTACAGAGTTGTGTTGGTGCTTGGACTAAAGGCAGGTTCACACGTGGCTCACACTGCCCCTTCTCCTGTTACTGCAGTCCTGCTCACAGAAGGTGCTGAGCCAGTAACTCAGGCTATTCCTGTTACCCTGTGCCCAAGCTTGCATGGCTAGGGGAACTGCTTAGCTCTGGCCAGGGTCCCGTTCCCAGGCAGGCACTACCATGTAGCAGTAGAGAAGAACACCACAGTTGCTGTTGTCACCCCACCTATGCAGTTCCCACTGCCAGCCACCCCTGCATCTCATCTGACCAAGTTCTGTCAAAATTGGGTGTGAATGCCACAGAGGAGGTGCCCAGGTTCCTTCTGCTGCCTCTTCCCATGCAGCATCTGGGCCTCAGGCCCCTCACTACTACTGGTGCCTTTAATGTCAAGGTCCCTTGCTTGTTGCAGAGCTAGCTTCAACAATGCCGGAGGAAACTCCTGTCACCTAATAGGAGCCACCATTTCCATTATAAGAACAGCCCCCCAGTGAAGACCCCACATCCACTGTTGTCCACATCACACTTGCCTGAATTGCTAGTGTGTTTCCACTCTTGCATGGCCCATAGGGGCAGTGGTCCTATCCACTATCTATACCATGCCCTAATTTACTGATCACAGCTGAAGAAGCTTCAGAAACTACACAATGGTTCCCAGCTAGAATCAAAGCCAGCCTTGTCAAACCAACACCCAAGACACATGTTCAGGTGGAGTCTGCTTACCAAGAAGGCTACGCCATAAATGTAGTTACCTGGCGTACTGAGTCTTGGGAGGTGGGGGTTGGGGGAGACTACCAACCAGGATCATCCAGCACTGCTATCCTTCAGAATCAAAGAAATAAGACTCTCAGAACTGAGATAATTAAGACCAGCCTTACAAAAGATACTTAAGGGAGTCCTGTGCCCAGAAGTCAAAGAAAATTACTGTCATGAAAGTAGATCCTACTAGAAGAGTAAATACACAAAAGAAAAACATTTTTATCAGTAAGTAAGCCATCAAATCACAAAGATAAACGAGAGAAAGTAAAGAGCAAATAATATTCAAAACAACTAACAGGAATAAGCCTTTACCTATCAATGACCTTGAATGGAAACAATTAAAAGATAGCTGGACTGAATAAATCAAAAAGCAAGATCCAATAATATGCTTCCTAAAAAAAATTCACAAGTAAAAACAAAATGAAAGAATGGAAAATGATATTCCAAGCAAAGGGAAACCTAAAGCTAGTAGAAGCAGTAGCTACATTTACATGTGATAAAATAGACTTTAAGATAAAAACTGTCAAGACAAAGTCACTAATAATAATCAAGGATTCAATAAGAAATATGATAAATTTATGTGTACCTGACATCAGAGCAACCAGTTTTATAAAATTGCCACTATTAGACCTAAAGGGAGAGAGACTAATACCATAACAGAGGGGAATTTCAATACCCCACTTTCGTCAGTGGACGATTCATCCAGCCCCTCCGCCAAAAAATGAACAAACATCAGAGTACAACTATATGTCAGAACATTCCATTCAACAGCTGCAAAGTACACATTCTTTTCATCAATTCATGGAGTTTTCTCTAGAATACACAATATATTAAGCCCCAAAATAATTCTAAATAAAAAATTTAAATGAAATTTTATTCTGTATCCTTTCTGATTACCATGGGGAAAAACTAGAGTCAGCAACAAAGTTAATTTAGACATGGACACCGAACAACATACATTTGAATCAACAGTGGTTTGTCAAGGATAAAAGAAGAGAAACATGGAAATTTATGAAAACAGCATGCCAAAATTTACTGTCTACAACAAAACCAGTATTCAGAGGGAACTTGATAGCAATAGTGCCTACATTAAAAATGTTTTTTAAAAAATTTCAACTAACCTTAAAATGCATCTCAATGATCTAGAAAAGCAAGAACAAACCAACCTCCAAATTAGAAGGAATGAAAGAGCAGAGCAGAAATAAATGCAAAAGAGACTAAAAGGGCAATACAAAAGATCAATAAAATGAAGAGGTCATATTTTAAGAAGGTGAACAAAAGCAACAAACCTTTAGCTAAACTAACCAAGAAAAAAAGAAGATCCAAATAAAATTAGACGTTAAGCAAAAGAAGACATTAGCACAGAAATACAAAGGATCATTATGAGATTCTGATAAAAATAAATACGAGATGCTAACATTTATAAATCTAATCTAGAAGAAATGGACAAATTTCTAGACACACATAACCTATCAAAATAAATCTGAGGACTCTGCTTCTGGTTCACAGACAGCCACATCTTCTCCTCTTGTGGACATCCTCTTGTCTCTTGCGGTGCCAGCCACGCCGTCCCTAAGACACGATGGTGAGGGTCAGAGTGAACGTATCTGGCCACATTGGGTGCCTGGTCACCAGGGCTGCTTTCAAGTCTGGTGAAGTGGATATTGTTGCTATCAATGACCCCTCCATTGACCTCAACTACATGGTCTGTGTGTTCCAGTGTGTTTCCACCTGTGGTAAATTCAATGGCACAGTCAAGGCTGAATACTGGAAGCTTGTTATCAATGGAAACTCCATCTCCAGAAGCAAGACCCTGCTGACATCAGATGGGGTGATGCTGGTGCTGAACCTGTTGGGGAGTCCACTGGCGTCTTCACCAGCATGGGGAAAGCCGGGACTCATTCCAAGGGTGGTGCTGAAAGGGTCATCTCTGCCTCTTCTGCTGATGCCCCCATGTTTGTGATGACCGTGAATCGTGGGATATATGACAACTCCCCCAAGATCATCAGCCATGCCTCCTGTAGCACCCACCAACTGCTTAATCTCCTGGCCAAGGTCATCCATGACCACTCCAGCCTTGTGGAAGGACTCAAGACCACAGTACTTGTCATCACTACTAATCAGAAGACTGTAGATGGCCCCTCTGGGAAACTGCCATGATGGTGGTGGAGCTGCCCAGAATATCCTCTGTGCATCCACTGGTGCTGCTAAGGCGGTGGGCAAGGTCATCCCTGAACTGAATGGAAAGCTCACTGGCACGGCTTTTCGTGTGCCTACCCCAATGACCTGTGGCCTGGAGAAAGCTGCAAGGTTTGATGACATCAGGAAGGTGGTAAAGCAGGCATTAGAGGGCCCCTCAAGGACCGGGTTGTCTCCTATGACTTTAACAGTGACATCCACTCTGCCACCTTCAGTGCTGAGGCTGGCATGGCCCTCAGTGATCACTTTGTCAAGCTTATTTCCTGGTATGACCATGAATTTGTCTGCAACAACAGGGTGGTGGACCTGATGGTCCACATGGCCTCCCAGGAGTAAGGGCCCCTGGACCACCTGCCCCAGCAAGAACACAGAGAAAGAAACAGGCCCTCGGCTGTGGGGAGTCCCCTGCTCCTAACTCAGGCCCTCAGCAGGAATCTCCCCTCTTCCCAGTTTCCATCCCAGACACCCTGAAGAAGGGGGGAGGTTTAAGGAGCCCTACTTTCACCACCAATAAAGTCTACTGCACCTCCCAAAATTTAAAAAAAAAATGAGGACATAAAAAACCTGAATAGGCCAATAACAAATAATGAGATTGAATCAGTACTGAAAAGTCTCCCAACAAAGAAACCTCAGGACTGGATGGCTTTATGACTGAATTTTGACAAACTTTTAAAAAAGAACTATAACCAATTCTCAGATTTTTCCATATGATTGAAAGGGAGGAAACATTTCCAAACTCTAGGAGGCCAGCATCATCCTGTTTTCAACAGAAAACAAGGACACAACGAAAAGAAAGAAAGCTGTATAGACCAATATCCCTGACGAACCAGGTGCAGACAGCCTCAACAGAGTACTAGCAAACAGGATTTAACAGCACATCAAAAAGATTATTTCCCCTGATCAAGGAGGTTTTATCCCAAGGGTGCAAGGATGGTGTACATGTGCAAGTCAATAAGCAATCTATCACATCAACAAAAGGAAGA